AAGAACCTGAACTCCTACCACAGGGTCTTCTGGACCTTGTGAGCCTTGGCTGAGGCAGCTCAGGTACTGGGGAGCAGAAGGACTAGGCTGTTGGATGAGAACGTGCTTTCCCGTGGGGCTCCTCCAAGCGCAGTCCCCTGTGGAGGGGGGGTGTCTGCTAATCCTCCCCAACCGTGTGGAGTGTGAAAGCCATGTTCACAGGCACCAAGCCCAATCTGGCTTCTGGGAAGTCAGTGGCACCCTCTGTGGGTTTCAGTTTAGGCAGGTAGGGTTGAATTATTTCCCCTGATACAGAGGACTTTTCTGTAGGAGGAAGCACTGACGCGTGGATTGTCTTCCTGGAATGAAGTCCAGAGCTACAGAAAAGTAATTAGCTCTTGACTTTAATTCTTCTAACGATGAAGCCCAGAAAACTGTTCTGAGTGGAATTCTAAATGCCAACTTTCCCCAAAGGCTGAAGCCAGAAAACAGCCAAATAAATTAGGCAGGATCATTTTTTCTTCCTACAGCAGTACAAAATACAGCCCTAGGACTGCCTGGGGCATTCAGGGTGAGCCTCATTTCACCTTGGGCTTTAGGACAATGACTTCATGTCTCCTGCCTCATATGATTACACACAGGAAAGCTCTCTGCATAATCTCCTGGCATTTCATAAATGCAGGCTCTGTAAATGAGGTCAGGGCTCTAATGCTCTACCTCATCCAGGGACTGCAGAGCTTGGTCCGTGTTTTGAAATAATTACCTGGCCAGTACTCTGCTAGCTCCAAGTGGTCCTTCATAAGGTCAGCCCCAGGCGGGCAGCCTCTGTGGTCCTACTGCTCATTCGTCTGGTGTAGTGTTCAGCTCATCATCAGGACATGTAAGGGTACTTAAAAAAAAAGAAAAAAAAGAGAAAATACACAGAAATAGAGCTGGTTCCATTTGTCCACATTTCAGATATAGATGAATTAACATTCTGCAAAAAAAGAAAAGGAGTGGGTGAATTTGTGTGGAATTTTTTACAATGTTTTTGACTACTTACAGAAGTGGCTGAATTTGGAAAATTTGTTCATCTCTGTGGCTTTAGCTTTGGGGAAAATGTTGAGACGTTCAAGTGTTTTTGTCGTCTTTTTTTTTTTCCATTTTCAGCTCAAAAGAAAACAAAACCTAAAGGAAGCAGAGTCTTGCTACTCCCACTTCCACCTGTGGGATCTGATTTTCTGAGGCACAGATGTCATCAAGAAAAGGATGATTTCTTGATTACACAGGCATTTTTTGCTTTATCATCTTTCATCCTGTATCAAAAACAAACAGCTCTGTGGGCAGGAGAATGTATTGGCCTTGTTTGCTGGGCTCAGTGCCTCACAGCTGAACATCCCCTTGTCTGGCAAGTGTTCTTGCTGGCTGAAGCTTTCCCTGAGGTTAAGATACTCATAATTCCTTTTCCCTCTGTCAAACAATAATCTGAGCTTGTGTTTCAGCCTCTTTCTGTGCGTCAGTAGTACTCACTCTCTCTAACTGGACAACTCTTTTCATGAAACTTACAGAGATTTGATATTTTTGTAACCCCAACCTTGGCCAAAATGATGAGCAGTATTGTGGTTGGTTGTTGGGAGGAAGGACTGCAGACTGACCACAAAATTCCTTTTACCTCGGCTCCTTAGAAAAACAACCTAAAAACATGAGTAGGGGTATTACTAGACAAGGAAAAAGCCCTCCATGTTAACACCTTGAAAGATGACAGGGTGTCCCTAGCAGGAGAGCCAGGTAATTTCTAACCGAAGAGGATTTTCTTCTGAACCTTCAGTCTCTTCCCCATTTAGAAGCAGCCTCAACTCTGCCGCTGTGTGGCAGCGCTGAAAAAAAAACCATGAAAAAAAATCACTAACCAGTGAAAAAATCAACTCATCAGTGTGGAGCTCACCCCACCGGTTGGGAAAGCCTCCACTCTGCACTGTGGGGTCGATTTTACAACCAGGCATTTGCACCTTCTGACCTCCACCACCAGAACTTCGTCCCGCCAGAGGAGATGGGGTTTTGCAGAACTGCTTGGGGCTTTCTTGGAGGATGTGGACAGTCATCGGGGTTTGCCAAAAGGAAGGCTGTGGGCAGTCTGACAGCGGTCCCTGGAGCTCAGGAGAGTTTTCACCAGTGATCCCCACTTTCCCCTTTGAGTGGTGGTGCAATTGGAGGCTGACGTTGGTTGTAGAGGCAGGATACACTGCTCTCAGCACAGATCTCAGCAGACAAACTTGAATTTTAACACTAGCACAGCACCTCTAGCAGGCACAACCATGCATTTTTCCTCACTTCTGTACATGAGGAGGGGTGGACAAACTCTGCAACAGGAGAGAACATTAAGGACCTGTAGTAAAACTTACTTAACATGTGTTGGCCTACAATTTAACTCTTGCCACCCGTGCGGGGAAAGAGTGATGCCTAGGAGCCTGAGGGTCCTTCTTTAGATTCAGGACTAAGCAGAGGGGGACAGTGCCAAGATGGTCTTGGAGACACCTCAAGTTGGTCAAGGTCAGAGTCACGGGGCTCTGCAGCCTCGTGAATATAAAAGTATTTGGCGTTGCTCCTGCGAAGGAGTATCATACCTCTAAGGAAGCATGAGGGTAAGAAGGGGATTGGGCTGTGGTGACTAATGGATTAAACCAGTGTTGTCCCTCCACACTCTGCACATTTCTGAAAGTAAGACATAAAGCAACATTTTTTTTGCAAATCTCACGTCACAATAACAGAGCAGACACAGAGGAAGGGAAAATGGGTAGCATTAGGAGATGTGTTCAGTTCTTAAGGTCACTCAGAGCCATCTCGTATTTATTAGGTTATTAAATCTCTTTATTCTACTGTGAACCTTGAAAGACGAGGCAGACATTTCTCCATACAGCTTGGGAGGGCTGAGGTGAATAGGCTAGAGGAAGAATCCATAAAAGACATGGTCAAGGCTTTCTTGTTCTGAAATGCCTCAAAACTTTACAAAGAAACAAGACAATGTCAATGTAATAATAATGGAGATAAAAAGTAATTCACAACAGTCATTACCCTTAATATAGTTACTGGAACCAAGTGAAGGAGGTATGAAGTCATACTTTTCAGGGTCTTTCAAGCTGTTTCCATAGGGAGCCTGGTGTGCCTTTGAAGCTACTCTTTATTTACGGTGAATGCCTACCAGCTCCTTTCTCCTTCAGCCTGGGAGCATTAAATGGCAAGATCATTTTTCCTGTCTCACAGTTCCACATGTGCCCTTCCAGGTGGGACTTGGTCCAAGAAGAGCTCTCCTGTGGTGTCATCTAAAGGCTGTGTTGCAATTGCTTCTGTTGTTGCCTGTACACTGTCATGTTTTTTTCTCTTTTGTTAACCTGCACATGGATTAAATCAAATTCATCCTCCAAGCAGGTCATCTGTTTGGATGCACCGAAGAAAGGAACATTTAATTATCCTCTTATTCAGCATGAATAAAAGGTGGGATCATGCTTCTAGCCACTTTCCCTAGGATGCAGATCAAAGCCACATGGCTTGGTAGTCACCCAACCTCCGGTCCACACGGTAACGCAACACATTTGTTTATGCACTTATTCTTCAACGCATGTTAAATTACCAGGATGTGTAGTGCTGCCCTGAAGAATTGAAGACAGCTCTCCACATCTCATCTCATTACTGATGCAGAATGGAGGTATTCTTGGGTTATCAATAACAAATTTCAAAAATTCAGTTATGACTAAAATGGAATGGTGGTGAGCAGGAAGAGTGCTGCAAGCAGTGATTTATTACTGAACCCTGAATTGATGAATAACAAGCTTCATCAAGTCCTTAGTAATGCCTTAGTGTTCTTCCATATAAAGGAACATATACATTGTACTATAGAAAAGTTGCCAAAATTGAAAAAAAAACCCAAACCCAAACACTGATTTATTCTTTCCTGCACTTTCGGACCAGCTCTCTCCACCTGCCAAGGCCCTAAATTGTGGGGTACGAAATTATGGCAAAGGCCCCTTTGAAAAAAAGCAGGGAAAGAAATGATCCAGGCAGAAAAGGAAAGGTGACATTATCATACCACTCCTGACCAAGGGCTGGAAGAAACTTTGTGGCAGAGAAACTATGTGCATATGGAAAAAAAGAGGTTCCTTCCCTTGAAAAGCTGAAGGTGTTTGATAGACTGCAGTGAAATAATGTGGGATTTGCCTGCTTGTTACCAGTGACCTTTTTCCTGCATTTTGCTTGAGAACTAAGGACTCAAGTACTAAGTTACTTTCTCCTGTAACTAAAGATGTGGGAGAGGGAAGCAAGGGTTGGACGGAGGGGAAGCTGTTCTCATCACCTCACACAGCAGTTTCCTCACCTCACTGTGGGCCACAATCTGCCTCGAGTGCCCAGAGCTCTCTCCCATTCCTCGGGCGGGAAACGAGGCATAGGGGAATAACACAGCTATAATATTTGCTCTGGCTGCTTTTACTCCTGTGCAGCTGTTTGCCGTCAGGGCGTGAGAGGAGTTGACAGAAAAAGCCCGTACTGCCCACAGAGGGCCAGGCTGAAGGGCCGGGCTCCCGGTGGAGATGCCATCCCCTGCACAGCACCAAGGGGAAGCACTGGCTCTCCCCCACCACCCCGGGGCGATGCTGGGAGCGGGACTTGCCACAGAAAGGAGCCCCCGGCGCTACCTCCGCCGCCCGCCCCACACCGCCCGTCACGAACATGGCGGGGGGGGAGGGTGCGGCTCCCTGTGAGGCGGCGGGGGAGGAACCGGCGCCTCCCATTGGCCAGGCCCGGTGTCCACCATCTCCCACAACTCGAGGCTCTATAGGCTGCCGCTCACCCTGAGCCCGCCCCCAGGTCTTCCCTGCCCCGCCCAAACAAGCGGCCGCAGAAACCTCTGCGGAGCGCTGGAGGAGCCAGGCGCGCATGCGCCAGGGCGTGGAAGGGGGCGGAGCCAGTAGGACTCACGCCGTTAGTACCTCCCCTTCTCGCTCGCCGTCGCGGGAAGGCGGAAGCGTGCGCGGGGGCAGCGGGGACAAGATGGCGGCCGCCGGGCGGCTGTGCGCCCTGTTGTGCCTGGCGCTGGCGGCCGGCGCGGCCGCGCTGGGGAAGCGGAGCCCAGTGAAGGTGCTGTCGGACGGCATGTGGCGGGAGCTGCTGCAGGGCGAGTGGATGGTGGAGTTGTGAGTCGGGAGGGGGTCGCTCGGGCTGCTGGGGCCCGGAGGGGGGTGTGTGTGAGGGGGTCTCTCAGCGGCCCGCTCTGAGGCCGCGGGGGACCGAGCGGTGCCGGTTAGTGACAGACTTGTGCTGCTCTCAGCTATGCCCCTTGGTGCCCCGCCTGCCAGAACCTGCAGCCGGAGTGGGAGAAGTTTGCCGAGTGGGGCGAGGACCTGGAAGTGAATATTGCCAAAGTGGATGTCACGGAGCAGCCGGGTGAGAGTCTGGCGGGGACGGTTGTGCGCTCCTAAACCCCCTCCCCGTGGCTTTGGGCTTCGGAGGGCTCGGGGAAAATGTTCGGTGCAAGCGTGTGGGCTTTTAGGAAATAAGCAGAATTAATAGCAAATAATAAAGATCTTTTACTGATCTCTACCGAAGGCAGATTGCGATGTGTTGCCTGAACGCTCTAGCCTTTCTTAACAGATAAAGGGAACAAGAAGATTTCTCTATAGAGTGATTTGGAGGATTTCAAGGAGATTTTGGGGCATACTTTTGAAGTGTCATACAGAGCAAAAATGCGGTTTCAGCATTCCCTGTAGTAGTACCTCCCTTTGTTGGTAAAAGGGAGTGCAAACAGTCTACTCTTCCTCAGCTGAAGCTCACTTCTCTGAATTGCCCTCATGTCTGTGTGGGAGTTCTAAAAATTGCTTTCACCATGCTGATACTTTTCTCCGAAGTCACGTAAGAATTTTTGAAACTCGCCTCACTTGTATTCTACAAGCACTGGAGGTTGCAGATTGTGGGAAAAGGAGAGCGTCTCTCTCTGAAGGGCTACAGCCAAAATAGTCATGTAGAACAGTTGTCCCTGGACATCCCTTTTTCGCCATGGAGAAATTTTCTCGCTCTTTGTCCAGGGACCTTTCTTTTAGACTGTGTGCAATACTTTGATATGCACAAGTTTGTGTTTGATTGCAATTAGAGATTAATACCTGGGGGAGCAGCTGTTTTTATTTTGGTGTGTAATAATGTTTCTTGCCTTTTCTTTTTCTACTATTCTGAAAATAACTGTTTTCTTACAGGATTAAGTGGGCGATTTATCATAACAGCTCTTCCTACCATCTATCAGTAAGTATGCAATGCTGCAGGATTTTTTAGAGAGACAACTTCTTTTTCCTTTCTTTGGGGGCAAATGAATAAGACTTGCCATGCTTTTTAAGAATGTAAGTTACTTTACACAGAGACAACCACTGTCTTAACTGCTGTGACCTTACAGTACTGCCAGCTGATTTTTTTTTTCTTTTCCCTTCAGGCCTTATTTATTCTGTCTTTTCACGAGTGTTTCTGTTTTGCAGTCTTTTCTCTGTAGGTTGATCTTAATGCAATTGTTTAGCCAGTCTATTAGGAAGATCATTATCTTTTTATGGAATCACAACCTGAAGCTAGCCAAGATACACGCGGAGTCAAGATTCTAGAAATAAGTGTAGTCAAGATTTTTGGAAGATGTTTTAGAGCTTGTATAATCTAAAGCAAAGTAAAACCTTAAATAAATAAATAAAAAAATAAGCAAGGTGATGGGAGGGAAGGTGTTGAGTGGAAGCAAATGCTGCATGCTTGGACTGTCTAAAATAAAGGACTTTTTTTTGTTTGTTTTAAAGCTGTAAAGATGGAGAGTTCAGGAGATACCAGGGTGCAAGAACTAAAACTGATTTCATAAATTTCATCAGTGACCAGGAATGGAAATCTATTGAACCGGTTTCATCATGGTTTGGTCCTTCCTCTTTCCTGTAAGTTTTGGTGTGATTTTTATAATAATTTGCTGTCAAACATGCACACTTTAAGGACGTGCTGGGACAGGTCCTTAGGTGTGCCGCACCTGGTGCTGCCGCGTTGTTAACAGCTCATGCAGCAGCTCCGTGCTGCTAAGAAGTATGTGAACATGATGGGTGCGTAGTCATGCCTCCATCATCTGTGGGAGGATTGTGTGCACAAGCATAGCAAAGATGTCCTGAGCAAGGTTTACTTTAAGGCTTTGAATAGTTAGAGGTGGCTGTATTGTTTTACTAAACTTTTGTAGGTAACTTACTGACACTTGAAATTTTTCTTTTTGTTTACACAGTAGAAAGATGTTTTGCTCAGCTAAATTCTAGGAAATTAGCAATAAAAACTGGAAAATAATGTAGCAACATAGTTGTAAGATATGGGCTGGCTGTTTAAGAAGACATATCTGTAGCAAAGTTAAAAGCAGAGTGGAAGGATGAAGGTTACTTTCTGGAAGGAAAAGTGAAGTGGGAAGACTGTAGCCTGAGAAGAAACATGCTCTTTGGAATACTTTCTAGTTTTGTGGCTTTGAAGCGCTTTTAGTTGTTGCTGCAAGTACCGTGTGATGGTTTCAGAGTAGCTGAGTTACTGTGAGTGATGACGCACGGCAGGAACACCATTGGTTGAGGCAAATAAACCCAATTGTTAGTGGCTTTTCTTCTGTTAGAGAAATGATGGCTGAAACATCTGTGCTGTAGCACTGTTGAGTTCATAAAGTGTTATGCTATGTGAAACTTTATATTTTTTATGGCTCTTCTAGGAAGCTCAGCATTGCTACTTTGTCTACTCGCAATGCTATTTGAATCTTCAAACTGTATGGTTCATCTCCTCCAAAGTACTAACCCACACCAAGGAATGTGCGAAACAGGGTACTACTTTTAGGATTAATAAGTTTTCTATTAGAAGTGTGCAGTACCAGCTCCATTTTTTGTGCAAACTGAAACGGTGTGCAGGCTGCTTCTACGGCTCGCTCATTAGCAACTTACATTGGCTTCATGTTTCAAATTCTCCTTTCGGTTACAGATAGTGAATACTTAATGCTGTAGTTTCACAATAACAGGGAAATGTCAGAATTGGCACAGTATACATGGCAGATAGCCTAGTCTTTTTTGCTTGTATGGAAGATATGGCTAAACTTAAGTGTCTGAAGATCTCTCAGTTCTTATACGACCTGATGTTTTTTTAATAGGTTAATTTTTTGTTTTAATAAAATGTCCAGATGCTTAATTCTTAATATCTTCAACAGAGCTTCAGCTGGCTTCTCATAGACTGTTGGTCCAAATATAACTTGGAACATAAACAAAAGTAACTGAAATTCATGTGCCAGCAGGTGCAAGTCAGTGAAGTTTGTGAATTCGTAGTTGTCCATATGTGGAACGTTATACAAGCTGATGCTGGTACTGAAAGTAGCTTCATGGGAAATGAGTGTTTACTTAAGTAGAAGACAAAAGAGAAGATAAAAATCAAAGTAGTTAGAATGGAAACTAGACATGAGCAGAAAGTTGTTCAACATGGGACTAAATAATGACTAGTCAGGCAAACCAGAAGGTACAGGTATGTGACTGGCTTAAAGATGTTTTCAGTTACTTTTTTTTTCTGCTTTGTTTCAGGATGAGCAGTATGTCAGCTTTGTTTCAGTTGTCAATGTGGATCAGGGTATGTGCTTAGGTCTCTACTTTATTTTATCTTAACAGATGTGGTATTCAGCTATTCTTGAAATGATTCTCTTGTCTTTTATTCCAGCATTGCCATGGCTATTTAACAGAAAATGTCGGGATACCAGCCTGGGGCTCATACGCTGTTTTTGCATTGGCAACTCTATTCTCAGGACTAATACTGGGACTTGTAAGTGAAGCACTTGAAACAGATTGGCTTGTGACTACTGTGTATTACACTAATGCTGCCTTTGCCTCAGTCTTTAATAATAAGACCAGTTGTTCTTGGGGTGCCCAGCCCGCTGAGCTGAAAGACAGGGACAGAAAGCAGAATGAAACCCCTGTAATCCAAGGGGAAATGGTTAGCAACCTGCTACACCACTTAGACACACACAGGTGTATGGGGCTGGATGGGATCCACCCAAGGGTGCTGGTGGAAGGGAGCTGGTGGAAGCACTGACCACGCTACTTTCAATCATTTACCAGCAGTCCTGGCTAACCAGGGAGGTCCCATTTGACTGGAGGCTAGCAAATGTGATGCTGATCTACAAGAAGGGCCAGAAGGAGGATCCAGGGAGCTATAGGCCTGTCAGTCTGACCTTGGTGCCGAGGATGGTTACGGAGCAGATCAGCTCGAGTGCCATCATGTGGCATGTACGGGACAGCCAGGCAATCAGGCCCAGTCAGCATGGGTTTATGAAAGGCAGGTCCTGCTTGACTAACCTGATCTCCTATGACAAGGTCACCTGCCTAGTGGATGAAGGAAAGGTTGTGGATGTTGTCTACCTGGAATTTATTAAAGCCTTTGACAGCATTTCCTGCGGCATTCTCCTGGAGAAACTGGCTGCTCATGGCGTGGATGGGTGCACTCTTTGCTGGCTGGCTGGCCGGGCCCAAAGAGTGGTGGTGAATGGAGTTAAATCCAGTTGGCAGCCAGTCATAAGTGGTGTTCCCCAGGGCTCAGTATTGGGGCCAGTTCTGATTAATATCTTTACCAGTGAACTGGACGAGGGGATTGAGTGCACCCTCAGTAAGTTTGCAGATGACACCAAGTTGGGTGGGAGTGTTGATCTGCTCGAGGTCAGGAAGGGTCTACAGAGGGATCTGGACAGGCTGGATCGATGGGCTGAGGCCAATTGTACAGGGTTCAACAAGGCTCAGTGCTGGGTCCTGCACTTGGGTCACAACAACCCCATGCAACGCTACGGGCTTGGGGAAGAGTGGCTGGAAAGCTGCCCGGTGGAAAAGGACCTGGGGGTGCTGGTGGACAGCCGGCTGAACGTGAGCCAGCAGTGTGCCCAGGTGGCCAAGAAGGCCAACGGCATCCTGGCCTGTATCAGAAATAGTGTGGCCAGCAGGACTAGGGCAGTGATCGTCCCCCTGTACTCAGCACTGGTGAGGCCACGCCTCGAATACTGTGTCCAGTTTTGGGCCCCTCATGACAAGAAAGACATGGGGGTGCTGGAGAATGTCCAGAGAAGGGCAGAGAAGCTGGTGAAGGGTCTAGAGCACAAGTCTTATGAGGAGCGACTGAGGGAACTGGGGTTGTTTAGCCTGGAGAAAAGGAGGCTGAGGGGAGACCTTATCGCTCTCGACAACTACCTGAAAGGAGGTTGTAGTGAGGTGGGTGTCCGTCTCTTCTCCCCAGTAACTAGTGATAGGACAAGAGGAAGCAACCTCAAGTTGTGCCAGGGCAGGTTTAGATTGGATATTAGGAAAAATTTCTTCACTGAAAGGGTTGTCAAGCACTGGAACAGGCTGCCCAGGGAAGCGGTTGAGTCACTGTCCCTGGAAGTATTTAAAAGACATGTAGACGTGGTGCTTAGGGACACAGTTTAGTGGTGGCCTTGGCAGTGTTAGGTTAACAGTTGGACTCGATGACCTTAAGGGTCTTTTCCAACCTAAATGATTCTGATTATAATTTGCAGGATGTTTGGAGGTTTAAACTTGTCTTTGTTTGTTTTCAGATAATGGTGTTCTTAGCAGACTGTATCTGTCCATCCAAAAGGCACAGACCACCACAGTACCCTCATTCAAGTAAGCCCACTGTATACTTCTAATTCAGTGAAGCTGTTTGGTAAATCATTTAATAAGTATCAGTATGTAACTTGTGTCTGCAGGACATGAGATTTAGCGTAGAAGTTTACACTTGTGATTGATGCTTTGCTTTACCTGCAGCTTTTTGCCTTTAGGGTTTATAGTGAGTTTGTATTTTGTATTTAGCTAAAGCTAAAGTATTTTTAAAAAACTTTTTTAGGAGATAGAAAAAATGTTTTTACAGCATTTTCATACCTGCAAGATAAGAAATTCCATATGCGCAGGGAGATAAAAGTTTTGAGTGGAGCTCTTAGTGTTGCTAAGCTGGGGGTTTGCTTAAGTTTTAGGGGCAAAGTGAGGATTAAAAGTGAACTTGCGTTTCTGTGGATAGTAAGTGATTCAGTTTGGGGTTAGTCTCTGGAATTTTTCAAGGTAATCTTAAGTCATGGAAGAACATTTGAATGCTGGTTTATGGTTTGTAGGAACCAGAGTAATTTTTTCAAAGCTGGATGAAGTTTTCTATTACCTTGTCTAGGTAATCTGTTAGTACTTGACCTGTGGGTAACTTCATGTTAGCAACAATTCTATCTAGGATAGCAGTTTAAGGGACTGATACTGGAAAGTGCTAGCTGGATTAAATTAATTAAAATTCTGCGCTAGCCTGTGATGTTAAAGAAAAAAGTGTATTTCACATGGTAATGGTATTTGTTTGTGTGTGCATGTTTTCTTTTCTCCTTAAGGAAAGCTAGCTCCTGAGTCAGCTCAGCTGCTGAAAAAGCTGGATGAAGAGCAAGAAGCAGATGAGGAAGATATCTCAGATGATGAAACAGAGGGTAAAGAGATGTCCAACAGAAACTCGTCACCAAACACTGTAAGGCAGCGCCCAGTGAACCCTGCTGCTACAATGGATAAATCTTAGGTTTGTTTGCATGCAGGATTAGTGTTTGAGTCACCAACTCAAAAGGAGATAAATGTCAAATCCTTCAGGTTCAAGAGAAGAATGACTCCTGTCATGGTAATATTGATGCATTTTTTTGAATTTAGAAAAAAAAAAAGAAAGCATCTTTGGCATAAGGTATTCAAAACTAAAACATGCTGTTGCAAATGGCTGAAACTTCTCCTGTCTGTGTGCAGAGAAGTACCAAGAAATAATTTGTGGCTTCCTGAATCACTTGTTCTATAGGGATTATTTTTTTTAACAGAATGTAAACCAGTGTACTTGTTGCATTAGGGAACATTAGCAAGGAAAATGCACTAACCTGTTTGCTGTTAAAGCATTCAAAAAGATTTCTCAATATATATCTTACCTAGTTGTGCTCTGAAGAAATGCTGAGGGGAAAAGTTCCTTCAGTTATTAAGGGACACGGTCCAGGCTTTTTATGTGACAAGAACTTCTGCTTTGTGCTATGACAATGAGTGCTACAAAACCCCCAGTCTTTCTTCTTCCAAAGAGATGAAAGTTGCTATCGTCATTCAGAGGAACAGAAGCTGCCCTCTGAACAAAAGCTAGAGAGCTTGTCTTTGCCATCCTCCCAGATGGAAGTTACCACAAGCACTGTGTAGTGTGGATTCTCTGGCTGACCAGAAGCCTGCTATTTGCATCAATTTCTTTTAGAAAAGGCTGTAGAAAATAGTGTGTGCTTCTTGGCGAAGTAATTCTTCTCCAGAAAAAAAATTACAAATAGCACCATGAAGTCTTGTTTGTCTCAATGACTCTGATTCAGATGGGAATAGTTTACATGCAGGGTTCTCTGCTGAGTGTAGATCCTATCCGTTCATCCTGCTGGATGGCAGTAGGACTCTGCTTATTTTTAATACATTGTCAGTGATTTCTGCTTAATCAAATTTTACTGCAAGTCCAGTCAGGCTGTACCTGGTCTGAAGTTGAAATAACTGCTTCTTAATTTCTTTTACAGAAAGTCATCTTTTCTGTTTTGACAAAACCATCTTGAAACAATTATCCTAATTCTTTCTTTAAACAACTGTAGTCTACTGTTTTCTGTATGGTATTTGTTTTCACTCTGTGTAGAAATAAAAAGAATGCACGTGCGCATTGGACCACTGTTATCTTGCATCGCTTGTAAAGAACTTTCCCTATTCTTTCAGTTACTTTCCAAAATATTTGCAAGGGAGGGGTTAGCCTAATGATGAGCATGCTTAAATTTTTTTTGACAAGTCTGTTCTTGCTGGTTTTTTTTCATTTTGTTTTGAGGGGTTTTGTTTGGTTTTGGTTTTAGTTGTTTGGGGGTTTTTTACATTGTTCATCTGAGTGGGTTTGCAGGACTGGCAGTTGGTAAAACTGTCAATAGTAAACTTGGTTGTGAGTAATTAAGACTGCAAACATGGAAATGCTCTTGATATTTTCAGCGCGGCCTGGCTCTCTAAAGCCAGGCTCCCCTAGTAATTAGTAAGAAGACAGAGCATCAGACAAGGTGCTCGTAATGAACTGTGTGGGATATGAAAGAAACATTGCAAAAAACATTATTCAGAGCTCTTGCAGGTGAATCAGCTTGTAAAGCTGTTAAGAATACACCAGGGTTTTTTGTCAGTCTTGAATGCTTCTTTGTAAGTTGCATTTTAAGTGTATCTGTTGGGTCATTATTCATCCTCCATGTTACGAATGGAAAAAAGCGATTCAGCTATCCAAATATCTGAGTGGATCTTCCAACAAGTTCTTGGATGAGTAAGAATGAGTTACTATGTAAGATTCCTGGAACTTCCTCCTTGGACTTTTTTCTTTCTTTTTTTCTTTTTCTGAACACTGGTGCTCTGGAATGACTTATGACTTCAGTGCTGGGTTATGAGTTAGGAAGATAGAACTGATGCTTGAAAGGGTCCTTTTGGTTAAAAACCGAGTGTTCCTGTCATTTTTAAATATCAGACTTTTCCTGGAGTTTGAATGAAGACCACTGTGCACCGTAAATGCCCTTAGGGTGTTGGTCTTGTTGGATTGCCTTAAATTCTCTAAAAGTTTAGCTCTTAGCTGTTGTCACTAGTAAAATAAAGCAATAAATCCGTGATATACTAAGGAGAACTAGTCTTTTGATAGGTGGTGTATTTTGTTAGTTTGGAGAGGGCTTGATGAGACGGGACACAGGAATGCTGTATGCTGTTGTTGTGTTGAATTGTTTTAAAAGCTGAACTGTATGGGCTAACTCCACTTGGAATATATTTAAATGGAGCTGTTATAAATGCAGGGTTTTCTAATTTTTCAGTTACTTTAAAACTGTTTGTGCAATATAGAAAGTATATAATGATAACTTTTGGCTAACTTTTAAAAGAACAAACAACCTTTTTTTTTCTTGCTGTAATTCTAGACTCCTGGTTTAATAAGAACTTCTAGCACTAATTTACCTTGCCTTTACCTTCTGCGCACCTACCTTTTCTTACTGCCTCCCTGCCTTAGGCAAGTAACCAAATTCCAAACCTGCCTCCTAGTCGTAAGTGTTCCCAGTTGCTGGAATCCAGCCTCTGTGTGGCAGACCTATGCTTGTGATTAGTGTAACTTCTGCAAGTTCTGTTTCGATTATCCATAGGCAGCCTGTGTTTGCCGATCTCTGTAAATCTTACAATTCGTATTTTTAATAATGTTATGGTTTTGTCCTGTGAATATTTAAGTTTCTTGATATTTTTTTTAAAAATCTGTATTCCAAAGATGTTTACTGAGGCTGAGCGAAGGTTGCAATGTAACAAATGTGAGTAAGAGCCTGTCCTTTGTGTGTATTGATGATGCTTGAATATCAGTTTTGTAAAAGTCAGACTGCCCTTTCCATATCATCACCTTGACCGAGCATGTCCTGTTTCATTCCAGAAGGAATTAATTAACTGTAATAATACTTTTTTTAATGTTTCAGAGAGTCTTCAAGTAAAAAATAACCACCAGCTTTGGATTCCTCTGTGTGTGTCTTTTTTTTCTTTTTTGTTTGTTTGTTTTTGTTTTAAGACAGTATCTTGCTGTGAAACAGTGAAGCAAAACTGCAGGTATTTCCATGGGGGAAAAATTGTTGTAACACTATACCTAACAAACCATTTGTGATAAGTCTTTTTGAAAAGATAAGTTCAAATAATACTTCAAACTAAAGCTGCACTGAGGTACTTGTGTTTTCTAGTTGAGTCTGGGTTGGGTACCTCATGGTAGTGTGAGCTGACCACTTACTGTTTTCGTTAGATGGTTTGGGAAGGAGCTTTCGTGCATACCAGGCCTAGACAGCAATGGTAATAAAATGCAGTCTTGAGTTGCAAAATGAGTGTAGGCTGGAGGTGACATATGATATTTAAAATTCAGTGTTGTAACTTTTTTTGTGTTTGCATAAAATGCATGGAAATCATTTCAGCTACAGATGGACTCCTACCCTCTTCCACCTACACACTGTATATCAAATCTTAACAGCTGAAGGGGTCAACACTGGTGACTTTATCTTGGAGTGGGAAGCTTAATTGAGAATTGTATGAGTTCTGAAACAAAAGAGGCTACTTGAGGAGGAAACAAATCCAGACAAGGTACACTCAAAGTGCTCCTGAGTAACAGCCCAGTGCAAACCTTGCCATCAGAGAGTCTGTCTTGCCTGTTCCCCTGCTCTTTCCTCCATCTCTTCTCTTATGAGTGAGTATTGAGAATGTGGTAGCTCTGCATGTCACCTCTCAGTCTGAATGCATGGAGTTTTCTGGGGAAGCACAGTAGTACTCTTGCAGTTCCTCCCCAACAGGAATGAGGAATATGTATTGCCTGGGGAATTTAGTGGATGCTCATACAAGCCTAACTTCCCTACTCTTCCACTCAATATATTATGTATAACAGAAAATAATAGCCAGTCCAAAGTTAAAAACAAGGAAAAATTTAAACTGAAGTATATTTAGATAGTTTCAATTGTTGGGTCTAGCCTGATGAGAAACAAAAAAGCAACTGTATGCTTAGCTGGCAATTGGTGTGTGCCAGATAGCCAAAGTCAGCCGTAGATCTGGTTTCTAAATGAATAGCTTCAGTTATGACAAAGATTGATTGGGAAGGAGAAATTAGAGTATGCTATAGCACTGTTTCAGTGTTTAGAAACACCAAAGTACAATGCCAATATTAACTTTAAGGCTTCTTTGTCTAAAGAAGAGGGAATCTGTTTCCTGCAGCTGTCTTATCTCCTTGTTTGCATCAGCTCAAGTTCTTGGTTTGACCTGAACAGCATCACCTTTGGCTCTTCCCTGAATTTTATTTCTGGCCACTGGTCCAGCTGATGCCCGGCAGTCCACTCCTGAGTCAGCTTTTCTTTACCTTGCTGAACTCCTTGTCTTGCTGTGGGCTTTATTAACTTCAGTAACTTTCTAGAAGAGATTCTGCCTCAGTCTGCCCTTTTTCCTCACTTTTCCATACTTAGCTCTTTAAAACTGTCCAGATACAAGTTTCTTTTCTATTTAGTATTGCTTATAGAAATTCTCTTAATTCCAAGGCAGATCCAGAAAGCCAACTCTGAGGTATGCATCTGATGTTTAATAGCCATCTTTAATCTGCAAAAGGAGTAAATATATTTCCTTTACCTGTTGAGATGCTTGAGTACATACATATCCCTGTTGTAGCACTTCTTGTATTTGACCTTAACTTCTTGCATGCATAAGCCAGCCTTCCAAAAAGCCTCTAGAACCCTATTCCTGGCAATGCTATAGCCTGCATACTGCAATCTGCTTTCTGCTCGTGTCCTACTGATGCTTGTTCTGTGCTGTGACAGTAGTTTCAAACTAATGAATCTCTCTTAAAGAGGTTCATTTATAAGCTAAATTATGCCTCCTATATCAAGGAGTTTAAAAAATGCTAGATGAGAAACCATTAATACAAGATCATCATTAAAGATAATGTTTTTGTTAGCTGTACTTTTCCTTCCAGAGTCTTTATGCTTTGCTGAGCCTGGACCTCAATGTCCTTTTTTTTCCCGCTTGTGTGACTGGTAATTTCTCAGAAAGATTGTCTCTGAATCTTCCTTTAAACTCCTTGGCATGTAGGATGGTTACTCCCCTCTGAATGCTTGCTGTATCAAGACTGTCAACTGAAGGGAAAGGGGTGTTCAAAGTAAAGATTTCTTGCCTGTGGCTGAAATCACAGGGGTACAGGATGCCATTTCCACAGGTCGAGTTCAATTGGTGTGTCCCTTCCCTGCTGTATTCCCAGCATAAGCGTAGGTACCGCAGTGACAAGGAAAGACTGCTCGCCCTGTTAGCATCACCCATGAGGCTTGTTCTGTTTCAGCGAAGCTCAGACCTGCTGTCAGTACCATTGATGTAAATCTCTTCCACCTGACTCCTCGGACTAGCCAAGATCTTGTTCACTGACAGACCACAGTCCGTATTTGTCTTGGAATTGCAGTTTGATCCATCAAAAAAAGAAAAACCCAAGGAGGCCAAGCGCTGGTTTTGGATGACCTGAATCCCCTTGATCTTCTGTGTCAATGGGGAGAGCCTGGAGCCACCGGAGGTGCTGGGCATGAAGAAACGGGCAGGATATAAACTGAATATGGTCCGCAGCTGTACTGCAGAAGTAAGAGGAGTGTGAGGACCTGTTTGGCTCTCAAGGGGGTGTGACGTTGTTACTCCCTGATAATGAACTATGGGTGAGCAAAGTCTTTCCTTACCTGTGCCTGTGGAGCCTGGCTGGTTTCTTCATGTAGGCTCAGTCCCTGGGTCTCCCAGGAAAATATCACACATTTCCCTTGTTGAATCACCCCAAATCCTGAGTGTTTACTGGACTGTAGAGCTGATTTCTTAGATGACTGGAGAAGTGGTTCTCCAAGGGTAAGTAATGGTTTCTTCCTCTTCTCCCCATCCCCTTGTCAAGTATTTGGGAAGGACATGAAGTGTGGTCTTATACAGAACTTTTTTCTTTTTTTCTTTTTTTTTTTTGTCAACAGGACTTGGTTAACAATAACCTGAAATTAAATACTCAGTATTGAGCAGGTTTTGGTGTGGGCTCTGTGTATGCTCAGCTGTTCAGAAACAGAAATTACATCTGACGTGTCTCCCTTAGGCTAGAGCTTGTGCCTGTGGTCAAACCTTCCAAGAATTTTGAGTTGCTGAAGGATCGTTGTGAGTGGTGATGCCATAGCACAAGAGCTGATCAATGAAATCCTGTGCGAAGATGAATAAAAGCAAAATGTTTCAGAAATATCTCTTGTTCAG